GCTTTTGGTTCACTGTCAGATGCTTAGTAAAGATTTAGGAAGATAACGTCCTTAACAAAAGGAAAGTAATTGTTCTTTTTTTTAGAAGAAAGCTCTTTTTAACAATAATCAGAGTTGATGAAAATGTTCTTGATAAATGAATCTTTTAAATTCAGTAAGGACAAGTCTAACATACTGCAGTTAGAATGAGCAGTTGTAGAAATAAAGAAAGGGGAAACTGGTTAGGTTGCAGTCCTTTAGGAAGGCATCTAGTGCTTGCTGAAGGTGATGGCTGCATATGAGGGGACAATGTCACGTTGTTGCAGAAAAGCCAAACCTTACACTGGGGACAAGAAAGCAGGAATATTGACTTCAAGTTGTGTGCAGACATCCTTCTAGTCTACCCAGGAATGCAGTAGTAAAGATCCTGGTTAGACCTTGAGAAAAACTTTTCTAATGGTAACAATTGTTAAGCACCGGAATGGAGTGTTTGGCAAGGCTGTGCAGTCTTCCTCAGTGAGGGCCTTTGATGGCTGGTTTAATCTAATGAATGCTCACTTTTGCAGACAACTTCTGTTTGCTGAGTTTTTGGGCAGGGAATGATTTTTATGTGTTTATTGGGTATTCCTGCTAATAGCAAATTCACAATGAAAAATAAACTAAGTAACATTCTCGAAAGGTCTCACTTTTGCAAGCAATCCCTAGAAAATACAAACTCCTCACACTCCTATATAAAATTAATGACACTTAGAATGGCTTGAATGGTTCCTGTTGCTTACACTACTCAAGTGGAGTCGCGTGTAACCACTGTGCAACCTCAAGAGACAGCCATGCTCGTGGAGACTTTCAGAGCTTTGGGAAGCGTGCTCTTGCCTATGCCCAATTTAGAACAAAGCAACACACATGCAGGCATAGCTTTAAAGATAAGCCTCATTTAAACCTGGTTTTGACATGTGAAAGAATATTTCCAATGGAATATTTTCTAGATAATGTAATTTAAGTCTGATGAACAAAAGTTAATCTAATTGATTCACTTGCAGCACACTAAAGCCTATAATAGCATGAAAACTTAGAATGATACAAATGAGAGAAAAGAGAAAGGGCGTTTATCCATCTTAAACCTGTTGGGCGGGGTGAGGGGGATTAAAAAAGTAATGTGTAGGGTCCAGCTAAGGTAATGAAATACTTCCTCTTGTAACATTTTCTTGTGTCCAAAAAGTCTCACCAGTTAAGCTGTGGATGTTACGGAGTATTTTAAACTAAGAGGGTGGCATGATAAATGAAAACTTGCATAAAATTTAAGCAATTGTGATATTGTTTTCCTCAGTGGTGGTGGTGGTGATGATTCTTAACACCATTAATGATAACTTGCCATGGAAATTTGTCATGTCTTCCAGTTATTGATATTATTATGTACTTTTAATGAGCACAAAGTATCTGATTGTGACTCACAGGATTAAGCATACACTTAGATGCTTAGCTGAAGTTGGGTCCTTAAATGACCCATCTGTATTTCCTTTGTCATGGCACTAAACCTACTGCGCTTCTTGAACTTTATCTGAATAAGTGCTGCATACTGTATTTATATCAGACACATTTTTTTGTTTGCATTTTGGCTTTATGAAATGTCAGAATCAATCTTATACTAATGAAATGTCCAAATTTCATCTCAGCTACGAACATAGCTGCTAATCCTATAAGATGTTTACTTTCTGCCTCTCTGGCTATGTATAGTAACAGAGAGTCTGCCAACTTAAGCACTACTGACAAACGTCTCCCTACTGCTAGTCGGTCTAATAAATGTTATTTCACTGAGTAAAGATTTAAAATTAATTAATTAAATGTCTTTAAAATCCCATATAACCTCTGACAAGTTTGATCTCACTGCAGGCCAGTGAAAATGGTTACCTGAATGCTGCATAAGTGTCTCCGGATCCCACCCAATTAAATATTTTTTATATTTTAAAGTTACAATCTTACAATTTCTTAACTTTAATCATATTATGGATAAAGCTTTTGATGGTAGTGGTTGCTTCCTGGGGGGAGAGGTGGAGAGAGGAAATAGAGAGAGGTAGGCTGTTGCAAAGGATGCAAAAACAGTGGGAAAAATATGAGCCAAACACCATTGTGAGCATAGTTCAGCCTTCCTAGCAAGTCATAGAGACCATAACTGCAAATCTCCCCAGCCTTTCTTAAAAATTGATTTTAAAAGTTGTCCTGTGGCATTCTTTATGCAATTCTCATCATGACACCTCAGGCTGCTTTGCTTGTCGAAGGTTGTGGCCAAACAGTTGACAGCAGACTGTCCAGAAACGGGTGTGGGTGTGTTTATGCATGCAGTGGTGTTTTCACATGTGGTTTCTAAGGTTTGGGCCCTGTTTTCCCACCTCCATGTGCCTCAAGTAGCCAGTGACCCCTGAGCAGGCAGTGCCGGCGGCCTGCTCAGCCACAAGAACGACGTATTGGCATCGCGCCTGAGGAGTTCCCCTGGAGTAGGGCCCTCTCGTGCTGACCACCGTAGAAAAAAGATCTAGACTGACATTTCTCAGGCTTTGGATACCCGGGCAACACTTTGTTTGGGATAAGAGTTGCTAGGCAGAGGACAGATCTGGCCAAGCTGCCCTCTCCCAGCCCAGCCTAGCTGCGCAGCACCCAGCGTGCCCTTTCTCCCCACTCCCGGGGCTGTCAGTCCTGCTGCCTTCTTGAGAGAGATTGAACGGGCAGGGCACACAGCCGCTCACAAAATATCCCTCACAGACCATTTGGAAATGATCTCACATTCCCATCATCTCACAGTCACTGAACTGTATTTTTCACAAGCTCTGCAACAAACTGATGAGGAAGAGGAAGTAATGCTCACAGGAACATTGTGAGACTAGAAGGATTTGGCATCTCGCTTGTTCGGATGCAGGTGACTACGGATACTGGGAAGCAGCAGCCACTGCCAGGCTCGGTACCTCTGACTGATGCTTCACAGCTGTTGGCTGTGACGATGGGAGATCCATTTTCGGATGCTTTCTATCAAAACTATGGAACTGTGAGGAACTGTGCTCCTCACAATTCTCCCGACGGACAGGGATCAGTAAGGAACTGCACGTTTGGCACTCCAGGAAAGTAGCTGTATTGCTGTTGACCATGAAAGCACAGATCTTAAAGCAGTCTGGTCTGAAATGAAACCTGGGTACGTTATCTCTAGTTCTGCACTTACTTAGGATGTGCTACTGATACAGTAAAAGAGGTACAAAAGTGGTTTTAGGCTAGTGAAGACCCCATTGATTAACCTTCCTTAAATAAGTTCATCAGGGTTTACAGTATTAGCATCTTCCTTGTTCCAGGCTGGACAAAGAAGGTCCAGTTTTCTAGACAACCAGCCATTACCTTCCATGTATTCAGAAACTGGAACCTAGCTTTTAAACATTGTGAATGAGTTTTATTTGTAGTGATTATGTGTACTAGAATCATAGTTATCAGAGAATAGGTGACACAGCAGCCGGTGGCCTCTGCCCTTGAGAATTAGTTGCACTTTCCTCTTGCGGTGAGCTGGCTGTTGCCTTAGTCTGCTTACCCTCGTCGCCTGTGTTCACTTAAGACTGCTGGACTTTTTGTACACATAACAGTGTCTTATTTTGCTATCTGAGAAGGATTTATCATCAAATTGATATTTTAGCAGGGCAGAGTACTGACTACATAAATGGTGTGTCCAATGGTGACATGGGACCAAAAGTATTTTTCCAGCTCTAACATGTGGGATTCAAAACTCACTTCAGCAGGCCTTAGACTTAGGGACTTGTGCCTCCAAAGTCCCGGGCAGTGAGGCAATGCTCTGAGGAGCAGGAAGGTGTTGTCCCGTAGTGCTTGATTGAGAACTGTTTTCTGTTTAGTATTTTTAACCTTCCCCTCTTATTTAGTTCCTGCTCTGCCTCTTAATGTAATGCCCGTTTATTGCAGGCTGCTTTTAGTTTGCTCTTTTTAAAAGCTCCCTGAGGCACAATGATGCCTAGAAATTAATGTATTCCTTTCCCGCACATCAAGCAGATGTGTGTATATTGAGTTAGTGTCTCTTAATGTTTAGCTGATTTCTCTTCAGAGCATAGTTGAGTCACTGCTACATACCAAACCCATTGGTGCCCTTTCCCACTTAATAGTATTAGGATATGTAGATTTATATATGCAGTCTTTCTAGCCTTAATTGCTTGTACTTGCCTACTTGTGTGACTTGCAGGTTTCTATAAAAGCGCTAGTCCTAAATATGCTACACTTTTAGATGGCATACTGTTTCTCTTGCTGAATGCTGTTGGATCCACCAGGAACACGGGGGAAGGCACCTTTGGCATTTAAAGACCTGACATGGTTGTCTTTGTCATCTTTGCCCACCCATCTTTATTTTAACTTGTTGGAACAGAAGCCTTTTTTAAAAAGGTGACTGCTGAGGACTTTTTGGTTAACATGCTAGGCAAAAGCGCCAAAAAATTAACATGTATTTCACCCACTTGTAGAGCCAAGTTAGGCTAACCTCTGCTTCTCCTTTTCCAAAGGGTAAGGCAAACCCCTCCTAATGTTCGTATTACAAAAGGCATGTTTGTTACTTCTCAGCTGTGGTTGGAGTCACTCATTTTGCCTGTAAATGATGATGCCTCATTTTCTATCAGAGAGCAGAGATCATCTCTCCAGATACCTGCAAATCTTTGTATCGCATTCCCTCCTGCTTGAAGTAGTCAGCAGAAATAACTGTTTGGTGCTGAATTTGTGGGAGAACACTGATTCTTTTTCTGCTTTTCTAGCCTTGGCATTGAGAAAAGCACCGTTCTCGCTCAGAACTAAGAATACCTACTCCAAGTTGCATTGTGTTTTACCCAGGTAATACCTGAGAAGGGTGATATTCCTTCCTGATTTCCGCGCTGGAAATATCCCCAGCGCCTTGTACCATTCCCTACCTTGTACACAGAGTACCCTTCCTGCTATACTAAGTAGACTACGTTGTTCTGGTAAGTTTTTTAAAAATATATATTTATTTTAAGCACATGAAACATCAGGATAGGCACAACTATAAACACAGGATATATTAAACATAGCAATGCGCTTGCAACCAGAAAATGCAGTAATTCAAAGGCCAGAGTCACATATGAAAACAAGCTGAAAATTGGTTCTTTTTGGTACCAGACATTCTAGACTTTGCCCCTCTCAGTTTTAATTTGAAAATACCCTATCATTCTACCCCTCCCAAGTCTTTACTTAAGAAGTTATTTGCATAAATACCTAATATTTAAAATTACTGTATAAAGTGCATTCTCATGAAGGACAGAAAAAGGTAAAGGTCAATATCCAGTGCACTAGAGAGGACTGAGGCAAAACACACTCAATCACTGACTGAAATGAGCTTTTTTTGAATCAGACCTTAAGAACACATTGAGTAATGGCACAGTAATGCAAATATGGTTTCTAGGAGACCATTTTAGAGTAGATACTAACTACTAGAACTATGGCTTGACAGCGTGTTTAACTTTTACGTTCTCCAGAGCAAGGTCACATTCCTCTGTTGATAACTACTAGAATACAAATTTGCTGAAGTTTGTAATGTTCCTCCTGACATGATCCTGAACAGTTATTATTGTAAACGACATTCTATTTATTTTGAAACAGTGCATTAATTCTTGGGTCTTATTGTCTGCATTTTCCTGTAGAAGCCAAGAGCTATGTTGGAATTCCAATTAGTTTTTGTTTTTAGAAATAGAGCCAGTTCCATATTTAACTGTCCTTTGAGCCTAAAGCCTGTTAACATCAGTGAATCAGCATGTCCTGTTCAGAAGCTTAGGCTTGATAATTCACAAGCAGTTAAGGGAAATCTTAGGACAGCTAAAAGAAAACACCAGCTTCAGCTCTCAGCTTCTTGTAAACTCATTTCTGTCTCTCTGAAGCTTCAGAAAGGCTCACGATATTTGCAAATTAAAACAGTCTGGCATTTTTTTTCCCTTCAGACATGTTAGGGACTCTAAGAGGAATTGAGCAGCACCAACAATTCCACCTGTTTTTACACAAGGGGACTCCTCAGTCTCTACTCTGAGACACTATTTCAGTGCTGAAGCTGGTTACCCCTCTTACCACATCTCTTACTTGTTTGGAAGCATAAACTTGGAGGACAGCGAGCAACGTTCCCAGTTGTGCGATGCCAACATCAGGAATAGAATAGTTACAGTGTTATTTCCCTTAGATTAATACAGAAACAATTCCTCTTCAGCCTGATATGAAAGTACAGAAAACTAAACAATTTTTGGAATTGTAACTTTCACTTCAGTTTTTTATCAATTGTGCTTATGAATAGCTAGGCAAAAACTTTCTTGTATAATTCAAGAACTGAATTATTTGACTGTTCTCAGTCATCCTTCTTGTCTGAGGTACCAGAGTTGTCCTCCTCATTGCCTTCAGGATGGACTTTATTTCTTGCAGTTGGTGTTGTTTCTGAGCCTGGGGCTGTACTCTTCCTAACTGGAGTGTGTTTGGCTTCAGGTGACTGAATGTCACCCTCCTCCGGCATAGGGAACTGGCATCTCTGTAGCTCTAGGTATGTAGTAAACAACTTGGCATATTCTGGATGCTTGAGCGCAAAGTCCTTAAACTCATCTGAAAAACATAAAAAAACACAGATACTATAATGCAACAATAGAATCAAATAAAGTGTCAGTGCCTGCTCCTTTTAATGAAGCCGGTCTCCAGTTACTTTCTTCTGAAGCGTCTTGGGCAGATCACACAAATTATTATCTAGGTCTGTGCTTCAACTGTTTTCCCCAGCCATAGGGTATGAGAACCATGAGATATTTTCAGGGAGAAAGGAGGTAGGAAACTGTCACTTTCGAAATGGCTATTGGTAATAGTGGGATGATGCAGCTTACCATAGGAGAGCTTCCCAGTTTCATCTGCATCTATTTCTTTAAAGAGTTTAGAAACATCAAGCTCAGGCACGCCCAGAGCTGACTGAATGATACAAGCAAACTCATCTTCTGTTATAGTGCCATCATCGTCCATGTCAAAGAGCTGGAAAAGATGTGTGTATAGAAACACGTTAGTATCAGTTTGCCTGTGAACCTTCTGTGCAAATTGGCCACCCACGTTAGGTGTCTGCTATTCAGGAGGTGATTTGCAAACAGCACCTGGGTTTTGAAGGGACTGGTGCCATCTCAGCTGCTTTTTTTTGTAAAAGATGTTAGGAATTCTCTCTGGAATGAAGTCTGACAGTTATTTATGTGCTATAATTTGAATCAGGATATTCTGTACTGCGAAAAGTATGCAGCAAACCTTTTGAAAAGCACATTAGCTCACTATAAAACAAAGCCTACAGGCTTACTTTAATTGCCACCATGAGCTGTGCTGAGGGGTCTACTTCAGCCTCTCTCGACTGGAACATCTTAGGTTTTAGTCTTCATTTTCCCTACCTTAACGGCACTTTGGCCACTGGATAAACTTGCCATGGTTTATGCTATGATATTACGCACTGTGACTCTATTATATGTGATCTGTCACCTAATACAGCGTTACTGTAGTTAAGAAGGAATTTTGGTGACTGGAATGCAGGCAGTGGATGTACACTGATCACCCCATCCTTTCCAGCACAGAGACAGTAAGCAGCTGCTGTGAGTCATCCATCCCCTTGAGGAACACAAGGGATGGAGAGCAGAAATCCTTAAGTACTTGCTACAGGCAAACAGGCCCATTGGAGGGAAAGCACATTTAACGGCAAAGAAAACAAAGTTGCAAAAGAAAACCCCAAGTTCCAATTCAGAGGAACATAGGCTTTTCCCAGCTGAACCGGTCATTTCCCACTGAGGTTGGGAATTATGACAAATTTACCCATTTCATAATCAGTGCAACTGTTAAGCTACTGAAGGGTATAGTCCAGAAAACAGAACAGTGAAAGAGCAAAGATAGCTGCTAGGCTTGCTGCTTCCTAGCAATCTGTGGTGATAAAAAATCGCTGGGAAAACAGAAATCATCTTTTGTCTGAATAGCTGTAGCACTTATCTGTAAAGCAGCCAGTCGATATGATGGATTCACATAAAAATACTAGTACTTCCTGAGTGAGCATCAGTACTAAAAAAGGATTCAATTAAAGATATGATCCATATCTTATTACACAGTTCAAGGAATGCATAAGAAGGGAGCAGTCGGTAAAACAGCTGAATCTGTGTCAAAGATCCACTAAATTAAAAAAAAAGTCTTTTAGGTGTTTTCGTGCTCAGGGATTCACAGCCTGGGCATGCCTGGTCACATACTGCCCATAGGCACCTGGGATTTAAAAGGTGCTATCGCTTCTTGCCCACCTGCCTTATCAGGACACCATAGGACAGCCCAACAGATTATCCTAGGTACAGTGCAATTTTGGATATGTCTGTCCTGAAAAGCCCTTCTTGATTCCCCCCCCTCGCCCCCCCTTTGTGGTTAACAACAGTGACTCTACTGAGCACTTGAACCACAGAGGATATTGCTCCATCTATTGTCTCCTTGCCACATGAAGAATCAGAGCACAGAAAAACCTCAGGGAAAAAACTGCTGAAGTGCTGCTGAATCATTTTTGGAGTTAGCCTGCCAAGTTACATATTCGTTAGTGCCTTCACATGGCTTTTGAAACCCTTTTCTATGAAGTTGATGCCTGCAATTCTCCCCCTCCCCTTCACACTCTAAATGTCAATTGGTTTAAGAGTATTACTCACATTTGCATAACAGATTGAAGCTATAAACTTACGATTTGAAAGCTAACAAATTTACAGTCAGTCTTGATTTGTCAGGTTTGTAGTTTTACACTAAATTGAACTTACCTTAAATGCCATCCGAATAGTCTCTTCTGTGTTGGCTGGGTTACAAAGAATAGACAAACCAATCACATACTCTCTGAAGTCGATGGTGCCATCTCCATTCTGTAACCAAAACACATGTGGCAATAGTTATTAGTAGTTAATACTGCAAATCACTTTACAAGCTGTTGAATAAAGCAACTATACAACAAGTACTAAGACAGTTTACAACACTATAGGTTTTTTTCTTCTTAGAAAAAATACTAACAACTCTTTAAATATATTTAATACTAGGGATGAAGTAGTATATAGGGAAAAAATGGGAAATCACTTTCTATCTTACAAACACCCAAAAAAGATTTATAACAACTTAAAAAGTTTTACTTTAGCATATGACCTCCAAGAGGCTGCTGACAAGAAGAATTAGAATACCTGTGTTTAAGGTAAACATAGCAGTTCGTGTCGCACTGGCACTTGCTAAAGTTCACAGACCAATGCAACATCCTAGAATAAAAGGGCCAACAGTGAGGCTGTTGTCTTGAGTTAATTCTTCCTGAGAACCTTCAGCAATAAATATGTCTGAGAAAGTACAACCTGATGACGAAGTAAATCTACAGTGGGCTATCTTAAGCCTTTCTTTGAAGCAAATACACTGTCCTAAATGCTGTTAAAATACATAAGATACTTTAGAAGCCGGAAATGCTATGAATTCATTATAATAGCCTGTCTGATCATTGCAGTTTTGATCGGAACGATCATTTCAATACATGAACTACAAAGCTACTTCAACAAAGCATGTGAAGCTTTCTTTGATGAGATTCGTGATTAATTATACGCAAGCTGCACTGTATTGGCAGATAGGGAAAATGGCAGATACCAGTTAAAATGTGTGTTTGAGACAATAGCGTTCCTGTGACCATACTGAAAGTTTCTTGGGAGTTTTGGGAAACGCGCAGTCTAGCGAAGAAGCAGTATGTAAGTGTTTGGTGATGGGATACAGAGCAGTTAATGAAAGCATAGCTTGAGATGTCGAGTAGTTCATAGGTTGGACCATTCACAATAAGGGCATTCATGAAAAACATTTTAAGGCCAAACAAATGTGTAAAGCAGAGTTCTGGCTGAGGATAATGTATCGTACCTTTTAAGAGGAAAAAGATTTTTAAAAAGTTGGACTCCCTAAGGCTGAAAACAGCACAAAACATTTTCAGCCAAGTGAAAGAGGGGTGGTCTCCTGGGTAAATCTGCAGTGAACAGCCAGAGCTACAGTCTATTCCTGGCTCTCCCGCCAACTTCCAGCGTTCACTTCAGCATACCAGTCCTAACCTTTCTGTTTTAGCTCCCATATGGTGGAGCAGTGCTAAGGCTGCTCTGTGGCGTGCTATGAAATTCCTGGGTTCTGTGGAGTAGGGGTTCCTGTTACTGAATTTACATCTTAAGAAAGTCCTTGATTAACAAAACACGTGTAACAATGTATGCAGTACTTACTCTTCTTCACCGTACTATACGTTAGGCATGATTGAAAACTGCTGAGACTGAAGTTTTATTTAGCCTTCAAAACCAATTCAGCACTGGTGTGCACAGACAACTTTTTTTTTCCTGTACTGATGATCCAAGCAATCTTTTTGGTAGGCATGCAACATTTGAACGTTTTAAAGACTTGTGGATTTTAAGAAAACTTTTCAGAAAAAACAAGAATCTATAAGTTACTTTGATGTGTGTCTAACAGGATAAAATTTCTGACAGTTTTTTAACCATTAGAAGAAAAGGGCGATCTTCTCTATTTAGAAGTCTGGGCTCTCATTGTGCAGCAGGGTTTGACTTTGAATATTTTGGCTACATCGTAGTTCTCATAACAATAATAGAGCTAACTTTGAAACGTATCATTATAAACTTTAGCTATTAAAACAACTGAAATGAGAGTGAACAATTGTTCAAAGGTCCTTGGAATGTTATTTTTGGACAGTTACATAGACTATTATCTTAGCAAAGGATTGTTTGATTCCATTAGAATTTACTATTTTAATTGTTATAGTTTCCTTGTACACACGAATACGAATGAGATTTGAAATGCAGTATCACTTTTTAAATTTATATTTTAAGTTAAGAATACGTATCACAGGAAGAGAATTGGAACATAAACTTTAAATAAAACATGCATTCAAAAACAACTTCTAAAGTCAGTTAACACAGCCTTGGCAATACGTGGAAAAACGACTAGAGTTGGTAAGGGCCATATTACTTTCGTTAAAGTGTTAAAACCCAATAATCAAAATTCAATGCAATCTGATGCACAGGACTGCCAATATTTGACTATGAAATAAAGTTACTACTCTTGCATGATCATGTGGTGGCTAGCTGTACTAAACCTGAGCATGCTGGCTAACTTCCAAATGCTCTGGCATTTTGGTTAGGGAGAAATGACAGGTTTGTTGCCTGGAAAAAAAGATGGGAGTTAAACTGAAAATGCAGGAAAACGGAGTCAGCAACTGTGTAGCACCACTGCAAAAGAGCACGCGCTACAGTCCCTCTTCACATATCTATCTAGCTGTGCTTGCAGCCCACGCACTCAAAGATATTTTAAGGAAGCAACATGTGAGCTGAGCTGCAATTCTCTAAATAGCAAAGTAGAACATAAACGTTTATATATTTGTATTTATGTTAAATAAAATAACCAAAACAGAGTGTAACATCAACAGCCTTTGTTTTCTTAAAGAAAACTAGTTTTCTGCTACTATTTTCCCTATAGCATGCCGTGATAACTAGGATTTTGTTGTTGTTTGTATGTATAATACAGTAAATCTTACACTTTGGGGACAGGAAATTTTCCACCTTCAGAGTATCCATTTAGAGCTGCACAAGAAGATTAGGGCTAGACAATCAGCTTTATGCAGCTGGCAAAGCCCTAAGCAAGACGGACGCACTCAGTGAAGTTTAAAGTGCTACTGCCCCCCAATTTTTTCTCATTATGTATTGTACGAAGGCAAGAGTAAAAATAAAGGTGGGGAGTGCTAGTCGGAAGAGGCTGGCCAAAGGACCCCGGACCCGCTGGCAGAAAGGGCTACGCAGAAGCTCCAGATGGACCATCCGGAGAGGAACTTCAGTTGCACCAGGCTCCTCAGATAACAGGGTATTGCTGTAACTCTTTCAAGCAACCGCCTGTTGCTACATGCAAGTTGTAACTAGTCAGAAGGGGAAATTCTGAGACAGACCTGGTAGGATGGGGCTCACCTGGAGATACCGCGCTTGTCCTCGTGCTCCCTTTTCTATTACCCACAGAGCCAAAACGCCCATGTGGATGGATAACTGTGGTTTTCAGTTACATAACTTGGATGGGTGACAAATGCCATTAGGGGGGAATTAACCTCTTTCATCACAGTTTGAGCCAATGGGCGTATTTTTTTTTCTGTCACTCAGCTTCATATTAAACATAGTGCAGGAGGAAGAAAATCCGAGCAAAAGTTTTAAGTTACTTTTTCCTAAGTTATAAGTAAAAGGCTTCTGCAAGATTTCAGCAATTTGGAAAATACGATTCACCAAGTCTAACTGCAAGATTTAGAAACCAAAGCTGTGGAAATCTAGAAACAAAACCTAACCACAGTACCCATTAGTATTCAGAGGCCCTGCAGGTATTGCTTGTCATTTCTTAATTAGGCACTGATGTCTCCGTGGGGAGGAGCAGGGGTAGGTGGGTTCCTGTTTCTGGGGTGTGTGTGTGTGGCTAGTGCTGGCAACGCTGCTCCGCTCCTCTTTTCACATTCCTTTCAGCTAGCACACACCCAAGACAATTTTCTTTTAAAGCAGCAGAGCCCAGCTGAGAAATTTTCCTTGTTTCATTGCAGTGCGAGAGCTGTTTATCATCAGCTATGTAGTCCTTAATTGAAAAAAAATGTACCTTTGACAGATCACGTTACTCCTTGCTCTAGTACTCAAAAATAAGCATCTTTAACAAACAGAACTGCAATAACTGGCTCAAGTGGGACGCTGCACCCTGCTGAAATTCAGCTCTGACGGCCTGAGGTTGACTTTGGCTGTCTGTCTGCTATGCGACTGCATTATTTCGGCAAGCTTCTCTCAATATAAATTTAGTATTTTAAGTTGTTTTTGGTTTAACTATTATAAGGCTTCAAGGAAAGAGAGGAAAGGCTAGTTAACAGAGTTGTAGGAAGCGGGGGGGAAAAGGTTGTGAAAGAAGCCTTATGCAAGTTTTCAGTTTTTTCCTCCTGGCCAGCAGGTAGAACTGACAATACCGCTCATTCATGTTTTGCTTCAGCAGAAAAGCATGAAAAAGCAGAAGTAAGAAGGAAATGAAATATCATTATGTAAATTAATTGATCATTATAGTCATTGCAACTTGGATATTTTCCCCCTTGTCAGAAATAACCGCACAACTTACAAATCCATTCCACTCTCTTTACTAGTGATTGCCTTGCAGGCAAGCAGAGCTTTATTCCAGCTTAGTGAATGCTGACAAATCGGAGCAGTAACATCACAGAGCAGCCCCAAACCTAGAGCTTTTTATAGAGAGTTATATTTGCATACAAGCCACTCTACTTGGAAATAACTAAGCTAAGGTCCTTCAACACGTTCTCTCATGTCAGAGTCTAGAGACAGTTTTCTGATACAAATTTATGCTTCTGTACAACTGAGACAATTTATGTAAACCCTTCAGTGAAGCAGGCTAACACACGCAGCAGGAAGCGTGGCACTCTAAGCTAAGCCAGGTACCTCTAGCAACATCTGCCTTAGAACAAGGAAAAGGCTACAGTTCGGCAAAACAGGACTGTAGTCTTCCCTCTAAATCTTCCAGACGGAGCATATCCTTCTCTGCTACGCTCTCATGAATACATGGTCAGCTGCAGCCAGTCTTGGATGGTCATGCTGATCTGTCCATCACCGTCGTGGTCCAGGGACTTGAAGGCACGGAACATGCCGTCCAGTCGCACCAAGCAGCTAATGAAGTTATTGAAATCCATACTGCCGGTGTCATCGGCGTACCTGCGAGTGACCATCTGGCAGAGCTGCTCACTCAGGTGGAACCCAGCAGCCCTCAAGGCCTCGGGCAGCTGCGCTCTCCCAACAGTGCCTGACTGATCAACATCATACTGCCTGTACACGCACTGCCATTTCTTGATGTTCTTCCACAGGTACTTAAACTCTTCAAAGCCCAGTTTGCCGGTTGTGTCACTGTCCATGATGGCTACCATGCTACGGCACGTATCTAAGCTGAAGCCATCTGTCTTCAAGTCTTGATGTCTGGAAACCACTCTGTTCAGGATGTGCATTAGCTCTGTGGCACACACTTCCATGTCATCTCCAGCCAGCTGGACAAAAAGGCGACGAAACTGTCTAACCTCCTCGCTCTCGTAAGCTTCCACATTCGTAAAATGGCTGCGAGGAGGTGGAGGTGGCTCTGGAGTATACTGAGCTGCTGCTTCGCTTATGAGATTAACAAGACCTCCAACAAGTCCTCCGAGATTACCTCCTTGCCCACCTCCTGTAAGGAGCCCTCCGAGGCCACGCACAAGGTCCCCTCCACGACCACTGCTGCTTCCTGTGCTCAGCAAAGCTTTAGCAAGGAACATTGTGAAGATTTTTTGAAGAGAGTTACTCAGAGATCCGATTCTTCTGCAACTCTCCAGAGCCGTATTGTATCTGAACTGGGTGTGGGCAAAACACAGCTTGTCTGCATGCCTCAAATTCACCGTGTCTGAGCATGTCTCTAGCTGTCAGGGCTCTCTCAGATCTTGGTAGTTTCCACCAATGGCTGAGGAGTTATAAAGGAACTTCTCTCTGTGCCTTTGTTTCTTCCTTCTTTCCTGCTTTACATGATTGGATAAGTTTTTTTAGCCAAAAAAAAAAAAAAAAATCGATGAGGCTCTAAGCTGCATAAAAGAAGTTTCAAAATATATCTGCTCATAACTGAAGCCGTTTGAAAAAAGCCCTGCCACAGTAGTGTGACTCTTCCTCAGTTAAGCTGCTCTCCTCAAAGATGAATGCAGAGACTGCTTACTGGAGTCTCGTCTGTTCTTGCAGTCTTTTAGGCCTTTGACTTTTTAGTGATTTGAGCATTACACTGCTAATTCTAGTCACCAAAGCATATGTGCCAGACAGAGGAAGTGAAAGGTTGTTATTATGGTTGCCACCCTATATTCCTGTTGTATCCATACTCGGACTACATGCCTGTAGGAGCCAACGGTCCAATGTGGAGAGACAAGAGACCTTGTCTGCCCCAGCTTCAGTGCACTCAACAAATAAGGAATTCCATTTGATCCATTTCTGTGTTAGAACTTATAAATCCTTTATATCTGGAAAAATCCTGGAATGGTTTTAATCAGCATATATAACACAGTGCCCTCCAAAGAAGACATGTACTATGAAAATAAGCTTGATCAGGAAGAGAGATGCTGAGCTGGGAGAACTCCGAAGTTAAGAAACAAACTCTAGTTCATAAATACTTGCAGCACAACATGCTGCTTGCATGGTAGCCCAGGTTGGATGCCTGGGAGTGAGATGAATTCCAGGCTCTGCTCTAGTCTTTGGGGCTTCTTGTGCAGTCAGAGGGGCTCATGCACAGGGCAATTTATCCCGTCTTCAGAGAGAGGTCTAAAATGGGAGAGTTCACCACTGACTGACTCCAGAGGAAAGCCTAAGTGATCAGATTAGTGTAGGCACATGTCTTTTTAATGGCTGGAGACAGGCAAGATGAGCGCTTATAGCATCTAACAGCACCCTTTACAAACACAGCAGGAACATATTCTCTATTTAGTACAGTCTGCCTGAAATTACATACTTGCAACAGCAGCAGTTGATTATTAAGCTATCAGCGTGTAAATGAGCTTGAAATTTGGGTAGGCAAAAGAAAATATTCAGCCACTACTTGCGTGAAGTTTAACATTTGATGGTGGTGCAACAACTTGTTCTGAGAGATGGCTATCATTTCACAAGCAACAAACTGACAGACCATCAAAACATAAAAAAGGTAACTATAAAAGTCACCTATCTTGCCTACAGGAATTACTAACCAAGAAGCATTTACTAAGCTGGACATAACGACTCCAAACATCCTTTTGGGATGTGATTCCTAACAAAACGTTGCCAACAAGAATTCCAGTCAGTTAAGCTAAATACTCACCCTGTCGAAGAGCAGAAACAGCTCTTTGAGGACATCAGAAATAGGCAGCTTCAAGTACTCTGCAAACTCCTCAATTCCAATTCTTCCCCCTTTGGAGGCACTTGCAATAGCAGCAAAGGTATCCAGCTGCTCTCTGACATGATTCCATTTTAGGCTATGCAAACACGAGGGAGAAGAGAGATTTCTATACGGCAGATCTTGGACAGATGGAATTTCAGTAGGAGTTATTACAGTGTTCAAAGACAAAAAATAGCCAAACAGAGCACGTGTGTTCAGTGTTAGAAACGTGGTACTTCCAAGCTGGTTTTTTTTTTAAATGAAATCAGCAATTAAGGACTGCCCCCCCATGGTTATTAATATTAAAAGCAGGCACTATGCTCTGGTAAATCAGTAACTAGTTACTTCCAAAACCTAGAATCCTCTTTCTAGTAAGTAGGCTAGTCTAGCAGAGAGCTTTTCATTGCCATAAATTCAGGTGCAGCGTTATTTTGCTGCATAATGCCATACTGTGAACGTTTCCTAAAAAGAAGAGAACGTGTCTTAACGCTATAGCTAGCTCTCTACCCCAAACACTGATATTGCTTCAGCCTAGGACATATCTGATCCCTTTGCAGGAATACAGCACTGCATCTCAGTAAGAACAAGTAGGATGGAACTACTGAAGATATTTCTAGAGAGTGCTGGATAAACTGATGTGTGGCACATATGTAACAAATCTAGATTCACTGTGCACACTCTGCAGATGTGACGACAGCCATGCCAAGTTACTAGATGGATTACGATTAAGCGGGTCAGTCCTCAAATTCCATGGACCGTTTCCTGATGGAAAAAGTCACCATCACTAGGGAAGCTTGGTTGCACAGTGGGACTAAGAACAGTAAGCCTCTGGCTGGAGTCTCTGGCCAGAAAGAAGGTGTTTTTACTTCCTACTACATGTTGCCTGTGCCTCTCCATATGAGCAATTTAGATGAGGCACAAAGATTACCATCAAGTGCCTAAAACAGGTACTGCTCTACCTGCACCACCCTTTGGTGAGATACATGCATAAAAGGCCAGAAAAATGCATTTTTCTCTTGTAACATTGTCCATAAACACTGTTTGGGGTTAGTTTTTATTGGAATTTCCTCATCTCTGATTTCCATATAGCTTATATATGTAAGTTATGTTTGTAAATACACCGTATTATGGAGGGTCAAGTCAGCTGCCAGGTAATTTATCCTTTTGTAGATGGCCATCAACAACTGCAGCACTGCAGTAATTAAAATATCAACAGTTAAACTTCCCTTACTTGAGTTTCTTGCTGATTTTGGTGAACTCCACCAGCCCAGCTTCCATGGGTAAAGTCAGCTGTCCTGCCGAGATCATCAGTCTGCAATCTTCAAAAGTATGATCGGTCACTGGCACGTTCAAAGCACTGAAACGAAATTAGGGAAAAAGAAAATCAGCCTCTTATAGTAAACTGGCTTTTAGTTGACTGCTTCCCTTCTCACCTTCTTAGTTTGGCCTTAACACTAACATGCAAAACAAGCAATAATCCGTTCTTGCACTGCTGCAGGTAGGACTGGGCACTACATGCTGTTCTGTGAAACCATACTGTGAAGCTACGTTATAGTAGTGTCAAGATTTACAGTCTTGTAAATGCAGCCCAGTAGTCTCAGAGGACAAGTGTCCTACTTATTCTTCTCAGGCAAATGAGAGAGCAATTTATTCTAGCAGCTTTTCCAAGAATTACGTTCCAATGTAAGACAACCTTCTTTATATTCTACGTAAAAACAATCAGGGTGTTTTGCTATAGGAATTTGACACCAGAAAAATTCCTATATATAGTACCTAGACCTTGATTGAGTTGTAGGCCAGTCTAACACTACCTGAAGGCCTTTATGGCTAGGAAATATTTGGAACTGCTGACTACATAAAAGAAAAGTTATCGAAGACTTTAGTCAGGGCCGAGTACGTACGTTGCCATGGTTTGTCGGACTCTGTTGGCAAAGAGAATTGGATCATTTTTTTCTTCCTCAGTAGGAACGTGAACAGGCAGAAACTGAAAGAGATGAGATGTCCAGTCAGTTCAGTAGGCACCACCTTGTTAACAACATGGGCAATTTTTTGCTTCTGATTGGAAGTAAGGGAAAAACAAAGCCGCCATGCAATGATGGAACTGGACACTAGAGGACTCAACCGCCTTAGAAACCACTCAGACTTCAGCACCAGCCACACAAAGGGGATTTAATCCACACCTGTCTGTAAGAGTGGTAGGCTTTAATATGAAAAATCAGAACCTAAAAGAAGGGAAGTATAGTAAATCCACAGTTAGAAAATTAAATGCTACATCAGTAAGAATGTGAGTCTGAAACACTGTACGCTCTTTTAAAAAGATCCTTTATAAGTGATGTTATATACTGGAAAAATGTGCCTAAGATTTTTAAATACATGCTGCAGTCAAACTTGGTACCTGTTAATTTAACATGGGACAGATAAGTTTCCTATAATTTTTTTTCCTCCATGATAACAATGATAAGGTATCTGAATTGTGAATTACAAGCAGAGCACTAAATGTATACGAATACCGTCCAAGACAGTATTTATTTTGGAACCCCAAGCAAAGAGTAAAACAAACAAACCAAAAAATCACAAAGCAAGCTTCCCCCCCCCCCAAACCAAAAATGACAAACAGAAAACACACCGGATATGTAAATGCAAAGACATGTTTACTGTTGAGGACTCATTAAATGTTAACACATAAGGAGTTAGATGCTAGCAGAGTAGCGTTATGCTAGAAACGTACTGTAGGTGACTTATATGTGACATGGCATGAAACAGCATCTACCTGTTTGTAGAGTGGAGTGTGTGGACAAGTACTGTGTAATTTTGACTTCAGTCTATCTATATAGTCTATCTAGCTCTGTTCGCTATACTTTTTTCTCAGTTCTGTCTACTGCTATGCCCTACCCTCCAATACTGCCCTTCAATCCTAGAGTACAGCTATTGTAGAAGTATAAAGTGTTGCTCACTGTTAGCTGGAGACACAGTTAGTAAGTATGGCCAGTACGTTTCCTCAGTTATATTCTAGTTGCTCGTGGTGCAATAATTACTGGTAACTATTTCCCAGATAAATATACTCCATCCTCAACAGCCTTTTATGGTTCTTTTTGAGGAAAGCTGCCTCTTTTTGTTCATGAACAGTAAGTTTATGGAATCAGTTATCTGTTAAGTAGCTGTAACAATTTTCTGTTTAGCGCTAAGAGTTTTTCTCCTGCAAGGACAGAGGGGTCCAGCTGTCCACATGAAGGGCTGAGATTTCACTCCTTCTACAAGCAGCCGCCTGTTTTGTTCAAGTCTGCCCCATGTCCCTGCTCATCACAACTCCCCTGCAGACGTCGGGTAACTCGGGTGGAGGAAGCGCCAACTCTCTACAGACACAGAGAACTGCGTCACCCCGGGATGAGGTGAAGTCAAAACTCCGATAAAGTTGATCTACACAAACCTGATCCATGATCTGGAAGGTAGCCATTACTTCATTCGAGGCTGAGGTCCTGCTCAGACAGCAAACTTAGATTTCTGGTAGGTGAAATAACATCTCTGCGTCCTTCAAAAAAACCCTAAAATTACTCAGAAAACCAGTTTGCCAAGAACCACAGCTGGAGGTCAAGAATTTGATGCCTTGGCCTCCTGAGGTGCCATGCAGGTGCTCACACACCCCCAGCTGCTTGTCTGGTAATAACTACCAAGTTATACTTTCCCTGTCAAATTCTAGCCCTGCAAGAAAAATTCTTCACAGCTCTTTCAATAGCAAAAATATGTCTTTGATCTGTTTTTTAACCTAGTCTCTCTTTGCATGGAATTTGCCAAATGCTCTATATTCTGCAGCCACAAAACTCACTGAACTCACTGCTAAGCTCACTGTTTAGTCGCCAGTAATTTCCTCCCTCTTCAGGTAAATCCGCCCCTTTTTCTTTTTCGACAGGGAAGTACTTTCGCATTGATGCTAACTCATTAATTCTACTTTGGGGCATATGCTGCTGTGAAAGATGCATATTCCTTCATGTTTCAGTTTCATCTTTTGGAACGTGAACTCAAATTTATTTTCTAACAGGCAAATGTGAGTTCTGTTCTGAAATAGGGAGAAGTAGACCTTCTAGTGGAAGGGCTGTATTGACTACTACTTGCTCCCACATATAGCAATTATATACAGATACGTCCTTCTGTACAAGAGCCTTAGGAGAATCAGATCTTTTGTAAACATCCTCTAAATATAGATGTGTCCGTTGCACATTACATACTATATAGGACGCTGCCTTAAAAATGGATTTATTTCACTGTTGCACAACAAACGATCATATTGCTAACTGTTAGTAGCAGTAACACTGCTTTCCAGAACAGCAACACATGTCTGATTTCTCCCACTGCTCAGGTCCCTAAATCAACTTAGTCTATACTGACAGTCCTTTGTGGTCTACCAAGAGACATAAAGTAAGACACAGACAGACTGATCATGCCTCAGTAAGCTGGCTCCTCACTGTATGTTTTGAACGTTGACTCTTGGATGGGGAGCGAGCTGTTAGTAACAATTTATGCAGTGTGTATGTTCTTCTAGTTGTCTTTTGTGCGGCGCAGCTGATTTTAATGATCAAGGGAACAGTTTCATTAGACAAGGCTCAGCTTTCTCCCCAGCAGAAAAACCGAAGTCTTTAAGTAAGCTCTTAGCTGCAGAAACCTTTCAGAGTTGAGTCTGGTAAGGTGGTGAGGAAGAGAAGGACAGTCTGAAGGGAGCAGGGAAATGAGGAAGTGGGGAAAAAAGGGAAAAAGTTACCTTTTAACATAACAGGAAAAAAGGGAAAAAGTTACCTTTTAACATAACACATTACAATAATTCTTAGCTGAGACATTTGTAAAATGCACATAATGATAGCAATGATTCCATAATGCTTTAAAAGTAAGGGCACTTCTGACAGCTTTCATTTAGCAACTCATCAGGTTAAGAGATGCATAGGATAAGGACAACAAATCTAAATATATTACTTACCGTTGTTCTGTTCTGGTTGTTTATTGTTCATTATCAGTGACTAATAACGTGAATAATACATTCTATTAAAGCGTAAGCTCCCTGGTTACTGAACCTTAGTATAAAAATATTTCTAATTCTTACCTCAACTTCTACTCTTGTGAAGGGCTGACACAGCGTCATTATGCACAGCTCTTTGCTGCAGGCAGGGAAGAAAGAGGAAGAAAAACACATTTTACTTATTTTAAACACAGGTTTTGCCCATCAGTAGATGAAGCTTTTTAACCAAAAACGCAGCTGATATTGGGCAAGGTTTTTAAATACCCTGCACTGAAGTTTCCTAAAGCGTTGCTTCTGGTACTTTTTCTAAAGGGCTTCTGCATATACCTGCTGCTTTCCAACTGGGCAGGCAGCTGGTTGTCCTTTCATTTGTGATGCACATTAACAATACTATATAACTCTTCGGCTAGCAAAATGTATTTGTTGTTTTATTTTTTAAGAGGTGAAGAGGTAGTGGATTTTAAAGTTATAACAGCTTTGACTCGGACAAGTAGCTCTACTTTTGTATCTTTTATTATCTCGTCTGCAAAATGGGACCAGTAACTTCCTTCTCAGAAGCGAAGCAAAGATTTGTTCATAGTTGCTGGCCATTTTGCACGTGACAGCAGTGTTTACCGAAGCCTATTAATAAAGTGTCAGTATGTCTGGGAACTCCTGTGCTTTCAGAGACTGTCACTAATATTAACGAGTAGGGGGAGGAAGAAGCTGGGTTAGAGGGTAAGTGTAATTACTTTCACTTCTCACTGGCTTGTTCATTTCACTACAACTTTTGAGCAGAAGTAAACATTTGCTCCTCACTTTAAATGTTGTAAATTATTGCTTATCAAGCAATCTTTCTTCTGTTCTCATTTTGAATTAAAAAAAAAAAAGAATAGTAAAGAAAAGAAAGGCAAAATGTAGTGGAAGAACCAAGCAATCCTTTCTGCTGTAGGTAGGAATCCACTCTCAATGCTTCATTTTGTAACATGTAGTTTTAGGCATCCCTTCCAGTAAGACACAAAAGTAGGAAAGAACTAATAACTGAAAGCAGGATCTGGGTCAGGAGGTTTCTGAGAAGGAGACTAATATTGTCCATCCCGGCAGCAATATCCAGAGCGTGACCGGTCTGCACATTGTCATCAGCAGATCTGTGCGAGGCACCTTCTGCTCCCAGTTACAGATATTTTGGTTAAGAATCCTGAGCTTCTGCCCCTGCCAATCCCTCCTCATGATTTTCCCAAGCTCTTCCTTTTGACCTTCTCACAGGTTTCAGTTTGAACCTTCATTAACCAGCCACCATGCTTACGGCTGTTTCTTCACTATCTCTCATTCTTGGCAATCTTCCAGCATAAATTCTTCAAGGAGGGAAATCTATGCTGTGTTATTGAACTTGCAATATAAATTACACTTAGTATGTTGATAACTGGGCTACCAGTAATGGCAAAGGCCAAAAAATTATTGGGAAACTAAATAAGAGATTGACGTTTTCAACTAGGTCAGCTTTCACAATGTCCATTCTACAATAGTGTTGGTACTAGGATTACCTAATGAGAGCTTAAAAGGCACTTCTGATCTACTCCAGTAGTTCAGTTATGGCTTGAATACATTTGAACTTGGAAAAACAAATGCTGCCTCAAATTTTTTAGTCGTCAATCAGTACTGCTGTACTTCTTAGATACACATACTATTCCAAAATATGGCATACGTATTCTGCAAATCCACATATTGTTTTAATGGATGTTTATAAGAGAAAAAATATTTTCCAGACAGCAGTTTTAATATTTTCAGTACAGTTTATAAAGGTGTTTATTAGTAATCTAATAAAATACTTGAGTGTATTAGAGAGCCACCTGTGTTTAGAAATAAACAGAGATCTATAGCCTAAAGGGCTTATTGAAACATTTGTCATTGTTTCAATGACAAACACTATAAATAGCTTCTTCACTGGGATCTCAAAACACGAATTGCTTTTGTTTAGTCAGGCAAGTTTATAAACCTAAGAAGGGTGCTAGAACATCAGAATAGAAAGAGGGGGAATAGTCATACTTGTTTCGCATCTCTTCTTTTACTCCTGCGTGACTGTGAGGTGGGGGAATGAATAAACAGACGGGATTAAAATAACGTTTATTTTTTCCTGTTGGTATACCACATAGGAAAACGTTAACATCTATGTGTTTTGATAACTATGACAGTCCCCAAAAGAAAAAGAGTTTCAAATCCTTTCCTTGCTTTAGCGTTAACATGCATGTATAGAAGCAAAACATAGAAGAATGAAACAAAACAGAGGCAGAGCTGGAAATAGTGTTTCCCCAGTTGCAGGCCCTTTCTATAGCCACTAAGCCACTCAGACTGGAAACCTGCTGCATAACAGCATTAGCCCCAAGTTTTCCCCCTCATAAAAACAGATCTAGAAGAACATGTGTCTTAGCTTAGCTGAATCCATTTGGCAAATTGTTTAGCAATGGAGGAAAAAAAACTAGATGTAATTTTCAGTAGGATTAAGACACTTACAATGAATAGCCCTGCCATGTCCAGGTCACAGTATCCTATGGAAAAAATAAAACACAGAAATGTATGACAAAATCAGATGAATGCCAGAGAACCAATAAGTTATAGTGTAAAATGTGCACAAGTTTAGTAAAAACAGATGATGGTTTTATAGTCCTGTAGTGAAAATAAAGGTGTCAATATGACTGGGATTCCTTGCCTTAAAAATTTGGAAGTAAGCGTGACGGACTTTGGAAACACCAATAATTGGGGATTAAATTGATGCAGTTATTTAGATATTTTAAATTATTCATTCTAATCCAAACAACAGAAGTGGAAAAAACATCCTACAAAGACTTTTCCAGAAGACTTCTCTGGTCCCTTTACAAAGGCACCTTCATAAATAAGCTGGATTTAGTTTTCAAGGGCATCACAGCATGGGTAATCTATCAAGCCTTTTCTTTGCTTTTTTCCTTTGCCTTTTCTTTCTTCTTATTATGTTTATTACTTCCTATATATCACTTTTACAATGTATACTGCAGATCCTTAAATCCTACCAGTGAAATGCAATGCCAATCCCCTGTAGCCGTTCGTATCACTGATTTCAAATTGACCCGCAAAAGGATTTAAGCAGGGATCTGCACTGCGTTTATGGCATGAAAGCCTTATAATAATAAGTAATACCACCACCACCACCACCACCACCAATACTGATACCCTCTTGGTTTTCACCTTACAAACCATTAGGAATGAAAAGTTTGGTCTTTTCCGTATTTGCTGCATGACCGGAAAATAAAACGAGTTAACAGCTGCTGACTCAGGTCCCCGCATTACACCTGTCCGTGAAGCAGAACCACATGCCTGTATCCCTGGGAGAGGTTGTTAAACATTTACTCTGCGAAACAAGGGAAGGTTGCACGGAAAGATCCAGCCGCAGAGCTGCCCTGCTGAGCTGCCTGAAGGAGGGGGCGGGAGGTGCTGCCTGCTTCAGCTTTGCTTTTGCGCTGAAACTGCCTGGCAAGCCCCTCTGCAGTAAAAGTATTCTGAGCTTAAACAAAAAGTGATGTTTAGTAGGGAAGTTGTTGTGTCAATTTTAGAGTTCAAGAAACAAGCTCAATGGCTTTGCAGGAAGTTTCTAACTTCCGCCACAATACTTCCCCCCAACTCGCTCTTACTTTAGCTCTAGCTAAGGGGAGAAGAGCCTGCAGTACGTTTTCACAATCAGAATAGCAGCTGCACCGTGCGGCCACTCAGGAAGCCAGGCTGCTTACAGTAGCACTCAAATGCTGAAGCTTAGGGCCACAGATTCCTCTTTGACAAAGCAAAATACCACCTTCAATACATTTTAAGTCAGGATTTTGCCTTCCAAATAACCAGTTACTGATAGAAGAAAGCTCTACATACCAGCTTGTTGGGGTATCGGAGCAGCACAGGTTGCACAGGAACTCGTGGAACGAAGGCACCTATAACCACAGATGTGTGCTAGTAAGACTGAGCTTAATATAGCAGTTGGAAATTTTAAGTAGTTCATGTACGTCGTGGTACCTGGCAGGAGAATTTTTTTTAAAGTGCCAGAAGAGTGGAGAGTTAGCTTTTAGTTGTTTTGTTTTAAATCAGCAGGGTAACTAGCAAGATACCAGAACAGACAGAAAAGTGCGAGTGCCTGTCTCCAGGAGAAAGCTGCCTCACGTTCCTGGCCTGTTCAAACTCATTTTCTATGCATTAAGTCCCCACTGATTGTCATCCATTTCAGAGGATTAGATTTTCACAAGGCTGTTGAGCGTTTCCTGAACCCTTCTCTGTTCTCGATAAGCGATACGGATCTGAGCACGTAGCACTGGTTTTGTAACTTTGCTGCATAGGGCGCTGCACGAGAGTGAGGGAGAGCACTTTAGCTGAAGTGCAGCATGACAGTCTAACGGTCAGCGATGCTATCAGGTACCTTTCTGAGTTAAAAAAAGTCTCTCTGCTATGTTGTTAAACACTACACAGAATAGATTTCATAATTTGGTTGGTAAGTCTTGCATAGCAAAGATTTACAGGAATTTAAGATGACATGACTCTAAGTCAGTTGAGCTCAAAGAAAATCGTAAGTAGCAGGCATTTTGGTAGTTTATCTCATAACATTCAGTCAAGCGTTTGGGTAACTAAAATTACAGGACATATTAGAGGAAAACTGTATCAAGAAAGAAACTCAACCAACTAACCAATATACATCACAGACATTTTACATCCTACAAAATACCAAAAATCAGAAAAGTAAACTGGATAGTATAAAATAGTGAAATTGAAATTTTAGTGATGTAAGACATTTCTACTACACTGTTGTATTTTACACATTATTTTCCAACAAAGATGCAACAAAATCTCTCACCTTGTTTAAAGGTGATCAGACAAGATCGGTTTGTGCAGGTGCCTTCTGGGAAAATCAGTATCTTGGATTTAAAGAGAAAGAAAACAAATGCATACTCATTTCATATAAGGGTTATACTTTAGCATCAGTTACATGAAGGCCGACTTCTTATGTAAGCTCTGTGACATGTTAACACTTCATCATGAGAATATCACTACTGTGTCAACAGGAACCGGATGCATTAGTGAAAGATGGCCACAGTAACAGTCATCTGATTCACCCTGATCTGGAAACAAATGCTTTGAAAGAGAGGAATTTGGGGGAAAGACCTTCACCAATTCAGAAATATGACACAAAAGGCTTTCACTGTTTCATTGGAAGTTCTTAGTGCTGGTAGTACTGAGAATTGTTTTTCTGCCTGCAGCTTCTTATTGAACTGTAGGGTGCATAAATATCAAGGAGTCTGGGCTGACCCGAAGTGCACGAGGTAGCCGAGCGCTTCCAGGCACAGATGCTAACAGCAGGAGGCCAAGTGCCAGCTGCCAAGAGCTGATCGCAGCTTAAGGGGCAGCAGTCAAAGGCAGAGAGAGCAGGTGCCTCTGCACCCGAAGGCGTTACACACCTCTGCATAGCCTCAGCCCCCAAATGACTCACACACCAAACACCCTGAAGGTTTCTGAATTAGCTACTGAAAGATATTAGATATGCAACGAGCTGCAATGCGACACACACTGGGATCCACAAAATCTCTGCACCAGAACTGGTCCGGAGCAAAAGAGCGCTCAAGGTGAGCTCCTACTTCAGTCCGAACGGACACGTCAAGGCTGGACGAAAGAGGGTATCGTTAGGTCGTAGCTGAGAACCACAGGCTGTTTTAAGGAATCGCAGAGACAGCTGCAAGTGCAGGGATACCCTTAACAACGTATCTGTTTAAAATTAGTCCTGCATTCAATAATCAGAAATGGTTTACTGATGCTGTGGATACAAAAATGGATATGTTTCTACTTGGAGTATGTTGTAAGCCATAGAAAACACATCAGTGGCTGACCAAGCATTAAGAAATCATTCCCTCCTTCCCCTTTGTGCTGGTAGAGGGTTGGGAGAAGCTACAGTCAAGTCCTCATGCTATTAATAAGCATCAGCGTTGCCCAGCCTGATGCGCTGTGGTTTTAGGAAGAAGGAATTGGGAATCCATCTGCCTTTTCTCTTTTATTGTACCAAGAGAATGCAACCCAGGTCCTCTGAGGGGCATGCGACAGGCATCATCTTGTGATCAAGTTTCTCAAAAAAAAGAGGAGTAGGAAGATGTGGTCAGAGCACAAGACTAGGAATCAATCAGTGACGCCCTGAGTTCTCCTGCTGACTCAATCTGCGAGTCAACTAATCTGGGAATCTCCAAGTCTATTTATGCCATAATATAGATCCAGTTTTTAAACTAAGTGCAGAATTGATGTGAAGCCAATTCTCCTTACCTCCCCATGCTGTTCTCAGCAGAGATTTAACGCTACAAGAGCTATGCTGGAACCATTTCATCCATAACTGCTTAGCAAATCATAAGCATCAGCATAGTTTCTAAGCATCGTATTACAAAAAAAGCTTCCTAGCTTTGACGTGTACCTATTTAACATCCTCTATACCCTTGAAAAATTGAACAAATAAAATGGAGGCTCTAAAAACGTTTCAGGCAACTTCGAAAAATGCATTTATGAATCAAAGTAGCCCAAACACTAACTAAAGAGGTTCTTGTAAGTGAAAATGCTGTATGAAGTGTTTGAATAAAGCTATTCTGGGAAAAGTGGCAAGTGTCGGTCCCCCCTCAGACTGGAGAGCAGGGACACTTGGGCGTTCTCCGTTTCTAGAGAAGCTGTATAAATCAGAGCAGTGCATGCAGGTCCTGCAGCAGAGATCCCTGCCATTGGAGTCTGTTTTCTTCCTAGCCTGTTTTAATCTTCCTCCAGAACTGTTTATTGGAACAAAAGTGAAGGAAAAGTTAACTTTTCTCAATCATTTAGGAAGCAGACAGCTATGACTAAACAGATCTCACTACTTTGGCTACTAAACCAGTCACTGCTTTGAGCTTTTTGTTTTTTATTTTAAGCAAAACAAACCACTACAGAAAGAAATCAAGAACTAATTCAAAACACAAAGCAGGAGACTATATACAAATCCACACAGGATATCTTTGGAGAAAAGCAAACTGAGCTTCACCTTTACCTATCGTCCACACACACGATCACTGTTTTCAGCTTAAGTACTGCTCCTGGGGGGGACTCGGACCGCCTGGGTTAGTCATCGCATCCCCTAGCTGTTGTGAGCACAGCTCTGCGACATAGCTTCTCATACACGAGCTAGCTTGAGAAAAGTGATTCATATATAAAAATGATACTACATTGAATCTACTACACTGACGGCAGCATGTTAAGACTTAAATAGGGAAAAGAGAAAAAAAAAAGTCCAGAGTACTTGCATTTTAGAACAGCAATTGGTACTGGCTAGATTTTAACTGATTTATTGTCAACAAAACTCTTTCTGGGTACCAGCTTCTTTTCTTCCCTTTCTAAACCTGTCATATACCTGAGAGCTGACCTCATCTTCCTCCATCAGCAGAATCCCATTCACCTGGGCACTGCCTGCTACTGGGATTCAGAGTGCATAAAGAAAATGAATGCATTATAGAAAAACAGTAGTATATTTATTACCTGCGGCCACTGGCCTCCTGACACCGCCCGGTTAGTTATCTCAGTGACTGTATTCTTTCGTGAATCGGGGTCTTGACGTGACACTGATACAGGCTGAAGGGAACTTAAAATTGCTGTGAAAGAGATCCAAGTTTTATTTATCTCACACTAGTGTCCAGACTAAACATGGGTTCAAGGCTCTCTTGTTACAGAAGTTTGGTATTCTCACGCTAGGAGACAGACTCTGCACAAACAACTTTCAGACTGATGATTTTCAAAAAATCATTATTGTCTTTGTTCTGCAAAAGGGGAGGTAAGGCACAGACACTGCCAGGTGAGAAGCCTGACAGTAGGTATAGCTATAAGTTTATTATAAGTCTAGCTGCAGCTAAACTTATTCAGGCAGCTAAATCCGTTCTACTTATATTGCCACTATCTTTCACTGAGCGTTTCCACACAGGTCTAAGGAGGAGACACACTCAGGTATGTGCTCATGGACTGAGTCGTAGCCCGTTTGGCCACACTCGGGTGTAACCCATCCAGGCTGCAATAAACAGTAGTTTGAGCCCAAGCTGAAGAGGTGAGTGAGATATACCTTTTCAGATACAGAGCATATACGGCTGAGTACGTGCTTGTGTATCAACTGCAGAGAACAAAACTCACTTGGTCTAGAGTCCACACGTGAATGTGTGGACATACCAGAGAGGTGCCAAGAAACCTGGGGAAAAATTATCTCCAATGTCCCGTTCCTGTGCTTTTAAGAGAAGATCAATATGTTACCACTTTATTTCCCACCGAGTCAATTTTCTCTGTAGCTTAGTTTAGTTTTGAGTCAGTGTTGGCTTGTTAAGAGTCCTATAGAGAGAAAAGATGTACAGCCAGAAGAAGGTCTACGGCTGATTCTAGTAATAATACAAATGGGAATTCTTTGTGTGCCAAAAGGAGGAGAAAATAATAGAAGTATGACTCATCTGGCATTTTCCATTTTCTGCATTCTCTTTAATTCCTTACCAGTTTTACTCCCATTAAAAAAAACCGTAACAGTGCCTGCAAGTTTCACCTTATGAACATAGCGTTTTCCAGACTGCTGTAGTTCAGGTCTGTTTTGAAACAACCTTCAGCAATCCGTGTTTAATATTTGTGGCCCAGACTTAATAGATGGCAGTTGAACAGATTTTTCAGGCTACCTAGTGGGAGAATTTTCAGAGAACGTTTCTAGCCTGAGCAGCTATGAAACAGGCTTTCAACTTGAAGCAAATTTAAAGCGATACGATATCCTATTTCGGAAAGGAAACAGCATAATTTCAGATGCTCTGACCAATACAGAAAGATTTCACTGGAAATCGTTTTCTTTGAAAAATCTTAGTGGTGTCTGTCTGTCTCTTCAGAACCTTAGGGCCTACGAAAGTCTGCCCTTAAATCACTTTCAAAGTTAAGATTTTCGGCTCATGTCAACTTGCGGACATTGAATGTTTTATTTTTTCATAAATACTTACTGCCAAATAGCGGAGCTGACAGGTTTTCTGCCCTAGACACCATTGACGGCATTCCCGTTAGGGCAGAAATGATGGCATCGAAAAAGCTTGAATGAGGAGCTGCAACAAAGATTGGGGCTTCCAGTGGACTTGCTATTTTCCCTTTCACTTTAACTCGGAAACCCATTATGAAGAACATGGTGCGAGTTAGGCATGAAAGCACTGTCTGGATCATCCTCCTTTAACAACAGAAACACAATAGTATCACCCATCTTACAGTTAGTATTTCTTTCATACTTTAAAACAGAAGTCCATAAAAGTGAGATTTCCCAGTGTGCCAGGCGTGGGGTAGCAGTCCTACTCACAGAGAGACAGCAGGGGAAGGGAACATCAGCTATTCGTATCAGAAGCAGATTGCAATTTTAAAGATAAGGCAACACACAGCACCTTCCGAAAACACCTCCCAAGCGTGCTGTTTCTCTTGCCGTATTTTAGAGCATTGCAGCATGACACCATTGGGGGTGGGAAATTATCAGATTCAGCGTCCTTCTCGTTAAGAACTGAATGTCTGAATCAAAAGTACCTTATATTAATTCTGATACTCTTCTTTTACCATCAGTTTTCAGCAAGTGAGATTACATGAGTATTGCCTTACTGGGGGACATGTTCCCTAACCGGACTTTCCATAATCTCTTGGCCTTGCTAGAACTCACATCCCGTTTTTCCTTCCTCTGTGTGTACTTGCAATGAATTGCATCTAGAAGGGAACCAAGTTACTCTGAGGCCAAAAGTCAAGTGACTAAAACCTCGAATTCGCACAGCTGTAAAACAGCCCTTTGAGGGGAACGTAGCTGTCACCAGTCATAGCATAACAGGAATGACAACAGATACAAGAGAGGAGCTGTCAAAGCTAATTTTGTCACCAGTGATAGCATAACAGGAATGACAACAGATACACAGAACTTCAGCCTCCTATGGGGAGATTAGAGAAGCTTCACTATTATTATAAAATATACTCATCACAGAGTTGCTTTATCTAAATGGGTTAAGTATGTTCTTACATAAATTAAGATCTGATTGAGGACTTCCTCTTTAATCAAAAGGAGAAAAGGAGTGAGAGGAAAACAAACGTTTCAGACCTTAGTTTTGTGTTAAAAAAAAAAAAAAGCAAGCATAGGGTTTTCCACAAGCATCAGTCACTTCTTACCTTCTCCATCCCTTAAGTGGTACAGATCCTTTTCCAGGGTGACGGAAAGTTGCAATGGATGCAAATACCCATGCTAGCAGTAAAATGAATGCAATGCACGTGGCGCGGAGTGGTAGCAAAATAATCCCTAGAAGAAGAGTCTGGAAAAGAAGAAGGGAAAACCTGAAGATAAGATACCAACAGGACTCTGGTATCTATTTCATTATAAAACATGGACTTTAAAATACTTACATTACTGCTACATGATTAATAAGAAAAGCATTAATGATTCCAGTGTTCATATGCCCGTGTATCACCCACACGAAAAAGGGAAGTCAGTCATGCATAGCCTTTCACAAGTTAGGACTGGAACCATTGGGGTTCTGGGCTCGGATATTGTTCAGCGGCGATGGCACGCAGCTCTCCGGCTTTAGTTCACGCTTACCCTAGGTCACTGGCATACAACCAGCTCTGGGTTGGGCCTGCCCAACTGATATGCGTATGCACTGCCGACCCTTCTGCCACGAGGTGCAACCTGTCTGTAAGCTAAGCAGCACTGCTAAGGGGATTAAAATGTACTTTTGTCTTTCTAAAATGACAACTCTTGTGTTGAGTCACAGTATTGCTGTAAGTGCACTACTACTGCTGGGAGCAGCATACAGGCGAAACAACTTCAGTTTCCCTAGCTGTGACTTAGGACTCATGCAAAAGACAGAGTTCAGTAAAACTGAGGCTGTGGTTTAAGGCATGGGCCCAGGCTGCACAGGGCCTCAGGAGGCTGCAGGAGCAGCCCTTGCCTGTTTGCCACCGCCTGGAAAGGGGTTGCTCACCACTCGCTGTATGCATATGGTAGGAGCCGTCTGACTATGAGGATTAACTTCTTGTCTCTGCCTCTCTGAAGGATCCTGGTATTAAGCTCTTTGCTAGAACGTCCTTGAATTTTTCAGAAAAAATTGAGAAAGCCCCTTCCTCCCCCGAGGCAGGACACTCTTGTTAGTAGCTTGCGGCAGCTGAACTATACTTTAACTGAAGCAGGCAAACCACTGGGAGAGATCTGCTCCGGTCACAGCCAGCCAAGGCACAGCCGTGGGGGGCTTTGGTAGCAAAGTCAGCATAAACCAGATGCACGCTCACCCTGCGATCATTGCTTCCTCCGTTCTTCATGTACAACTGTCAGAGGAGTGGGGGAGAATCCCTAATATGCCCTTGTTGTGATTAATCCTTAAATATCCACCCCCTAACCCCCATGCCGAAAGGGATTTTCCACCTACACAGCTCCAAGAAGCATTGGCACGGTGCTACAGGGCAGGGCAGGAAGAAATTCTTAATTGCTTTACTCTAGTAAATTAGCTTAGAAACTATGTCCTGGAGGTTGGCCTTTACACAACACGGCACCGGGCAGACTGAGCAAGCCCAGGTCCCGGGAGGTAGCTGAGCTGCGGTAGCGTACTGCGTCCCGGGAGGAAGGCAGAGCGTCACATTCAAGGCAAGCCGGTAAATGGTTAAACTCCTTTTGGCTCAGTTATATGCCGATGAGGATTGGCTCAGTATTTATATATAAGCACAACAGAATATGCACTCCAAGCAGAATTGTCACAGTGAATAATTTTTATTTGGACTATGTTTCTAAACTCCCTCAAACTTAGTACACAGGTGCATTGGTAATCATAGACTGCCAGCTCCACCATTTCAGGACGTTTGTAAACTTTATTCAAGGAGAATTATGTGAATTTTACTTTTAACTGTTTTGGTAAACATTTACCCTGCCATGCTGTAATAACAACCCTTGTTCTACAGATCTTCTGATGATACGTAGCACCCGTGAATTGATATAAAAGGCCTGCAGGATACCGCATGTCTTTTGGGGAGTTATCAGTCTAACTACATCTACAATGAGAATTTGGTTCGTTGCTTTTAATCTAAAGTTTTACACAATGTCTAAGCAAATAAATCGTTGTAAGTGATCCGTTAAGTTCCCATTTTGGAAGTTAAATCTGAATGCTCCGTAGTCACAAAGGGCCAGCAATCGTCAAGTGGATTTCAACATGGTGAAGGAACAGGCAAGTGTTTGGGAGTATGCAGTGCCAGAGCAGGTAACGAGCTTGGACGCGCCAAGCTGTGAGCTTTACAATTTTTTTAAAAAAAATCTATAACTGAGCAACAACATTTCTCTCTCAAAATCAGCTGTTAGTCAGCTCTTCAGAAATGACTAAACTGTTCAGGAGAAGCAAGGCTATGAGTAATTAATGAGCTTTACAAGATAGTTGCAATATACCTGAACTGTGATTATTAAGCAATATAGTGGATTTTAGTTTACCTCTCTCCTTTAAAAGGAATACGTGTTTGTGGTACATTTGGGAGATAAGCTCTTCTGAGTATTACTTAACCAATTATTTGATATACTAGGTTGGGTCTAATTTTCCTTTCCTAGACATAGTCCTTTCCCTCCACCCAAATTCCTTCATTCTTGTCACAATATCGTCTTACTGCAGCTCAGCATTCAAGAGCGCTTCTGGCCTTGGTCTCGAAAGCCTGCAGTACCAACAAGGTCTAAACAGGAACTGTGGCCCTTCAGTACTGGGGCCTGTGCTCCAAAAAGCACAGTGACACCACAACAAACACACAAAAGTGGATGCCCAGCGTGTTGTATGCCATGGTGCTACTTAGGCTCTGTAAGCACTGCAGCACAGCAAGCTTCCAGGAGAGATGTGAGCATCCGCCATGGGTTTCATGCAATGGAGAATTGCGAATGTTAAATTTCACAGCTATGATTATTCTCTTCTTGAAGCATACAATGTTTTTGCTGTAAAAGTTGTGTATAACTAGCTATGTTTAGGATAGGATTTTGTGCCTATAATGGAGAATGTGAAAAAGTCAGGTAACAGTTAAACCAACCGAGGCATCTTGCTCGTCTCCCGAAACCCAATGAATATTCTTTCCTCCGTATGCGTCCTCTTGTAGATGATCTACAGCCACAGTTCAGCACTTCATCTCAATTTAGTAATGCATAATAGGCAACATCAGCATAAGTCAGTGTGTTTTGGTTTAAACTACCTTTTTTTCCCTTAAGAAAAAAAGGGAGAGAATAGATATGCACTGACCTACAATGAAAACAAAGGGTGCATTGGCAAAAACAAAACTACCCCTCTCTCAAAACTTTGATAAATTCATTAATCTATTTTAGGCAGATGCACAGGTGGTACTGATGTGCTGATGCAGGCTATTGGCTTTCTGGGTCACTGTGTAATGAGGCAGAGCTGATTTCTGCTCCATCAGCTGCAGAGTATGGTAAGAAAAGGACAGACAACAGAAAGGTCAAGGTAGGTTAGGGAAGAAAAAGTGCAGGAGAAAAATATACAGAAAAAAACGCAAGTTTTAAGTTTAAGAGCTACTAAATAGGATCAGACCCACTCCAGTTTCTGCATACAGTAATTACAGAGAGAATTATTTTGAGTCATCCAAAGAATGCTTCCCCAAGTTTGGAGTCGCCTACAGACTTTTTATTTAAGGTGTCTGCACTGAATGCATAAGCTGTCACTGCTGCAGCTAGTAGTTCTCCTAGCTAGTCACACTCCTCCCGCAGACTGCCCCTCGAGTGACACATGGGTTACACCATCAGTGATGTCAGGAGCCAGGGAAGGAGAAAAACAGGTTTATCAGAAAGCCACAGCATCCAGTTTCAATTTTTGTTCAACTTCAGTCGTTGGCGGGTTATTGAGGAAGCGGCCCAAGAGCAGGCTGGGAGCCTGGACGCGGCCCAGCCCCAGCAGAGCGCCCCGACCCCGAAGCACTGCGAGCAGATGTGCTGCCGTGCAAAGCAGCGCCCGCACAGCACGACAGGGCCTTCCAGGCGGGTCCCCCGTATGCCCTTGCTCCCGGCCGCCAATATGCCTCTTTGCTTCAGCATTAAGAATATTCCTGCTTTTAACATGCTGTTTTTTCCACTACATACTAGACTATCACATAAGTCCACAGAGCACCTCTTCTGAATAAATCTGAACTATTACTAATAATGATTTAAATACTATTTGTGCTTTGCAGTGCAATTCTGATGCTAGGAGGCCAAGTCGGCCATCAGGATGAACAGAACTAAAACAAACACAAAAAATCCCCTAACAAATTGCCACCCATTTAAGTCAGAGGATGGAAACTGGAAGCATTTGAATAACTCATACTGCTCCTACTAAATGGAAAGGGAAAGGAGGTCTCCCTTTGTTTGGTTTAAAGTAACACTCTGGTAAGGCTCCGATTCCCAGCTGGCCTGGTATGCAGAGCAGGGCAGAAGAGGAGCAGGCATTTACAGGATGAAGGAGGCAGCTGGAAGTGTCCTACAGTCTTTGCAGCTATAGGGAAAAAGAATAGAAAGGAGCAACTGTGAGATACCCTACAAAAAGGTTGCGTCTGTCTGTGTATACCTCTGTTGCAATTTGCTTCAAAGCTCACTGCCACTGGGCCCTAACCCAGCTGGGTGCTTTTCTTGCCAGGTGCATTGGGGAGCTATGTAAGGAGTGCATCTTGCTTTAAAACATACCATCTCTTTTTTTATCCCTTCCTCCTGAAGGAAAAAAAATAGGATACATTCATTACAGATCAAATGGAGATTGAAGCTTAAAAGTGCAAGCTTCTAAAAGCACTCTGTGTATCCACTACAGAGATCCGCCCGCACAGAAAGCTGCCCAGTTCTGGAACCACATTAAGAAACTGGTACCCTTTACCGTGGGGCTCATGCCTACACATACTGAATCCGATGTACCTGAGCGGCGTTTCAGGCTGCTAGCAAAACATAAAGGAAAGGAGAATCTAAAATTGTTTTCCAGGTCTCTCATATTTCCTCTACCCAGCTACCTTCAGGGCAAGAGCTGTTTATAACTTGAGGAAGTGCTATATAAAACATATTTAGTTGCACATCAGCCTCAGATATTTAAAAAGATTAGCAGAAAAAGCTGTAAGTTGGTCCACATACTGAAATGCTTATTGTCCTCCTTGAGACTTCAGTTCGTATTTGGTTCATCAGCTCAGTTTTTAAAGAGAAGATTAAAAAAAAAAAGAAAACCCGAACAAAGCCCAGGAATATGATGTTTGCTTTCTTGCTTGTATAGGTACCCGCACAGACTTGCGCGCTCCGGCGCTGCGCTGGCCCTGCATGTGTCCCTGAAGCCCACTAACTCACCCAACCCAAGGACACTGGCTGGTGAAACATTTCCTTTCTCCCCGCCCCCCCCCCCCCCCCCCCCCCAAAAAAAAAAAAGTAAACAGCCTACCCCCCCAAGAAAAGAGACTTAAAATCAGCCTAAAGTGAGTTAACTGTCTGGAATGGGATTACTGTAAAAAGGAGAAGAAAAAGTTATTTTCTATTTTTAGCCTATCATATCAGAGAGAAGTTATCACCCTCCTCGCTCTAGCGCTGAGGCCTCTGACGCAGCAGCTGGCATTGCAGTCTTGAGATTAACGCAGCGTGCAGGAATTCTGTTTTCTCCAGGAATAACATGCTATTTGCAACAATAGTGCAAACCTTGTTTAAAGGCTTGTTGCAAACCTTGAGTTTGCCGTGGCCGGCCGGCGTGCGTGTGCTGCAGAGGTGCCCTGTGCAGTTCTGACAGCGGGTGGCTGGAAGAACTTCACTTCAAAGCACAGAGACTTTTTCTACCAAACACCTTCTGCATCTTTGCTTTGGCCACATAAATAACCTGTTCTCGCTTCTCTATCACTAGACTAGATAAGGAAGCAAACTAAGCAAGTACTTGGGAAGGAAATATTCTTACCAGATCCCTTTTCCTGGAAAAGACAGAGCTATATATATGTATTCACTGTACAGTTTTCTAGTGTCTGTTTATTACTCCAGATGTGAGTCGAGGCTGTAGTGCCGCAGCTGGAGCTATCCAGGGACGGGCGCAGCGCGCGGCGCTCCTGGCGGGCAGGCGCCCGGCGTTAAGCGAGGCCGTTCCGAGGCGCCCAGCGGCAGTTTTAACACCACGTTCATTTACACAGCCCCATCCACCTCTTGGAAAGCGGTATCTTAAAGCGAGCGCTCAGCTTCAGAGCACAGCGGTGATAATCCTTCGATTTTGAGGGAAGGATTAACGGTGGTCTAGACAAGCTGGGACAGAGAAGGAGCAGTTTTAAAGAAAAGGGAGGGGGGCACGGCAGCCAGCACTTAGC